TGATTTTTTCCCCCTTATAAAATAGGGGTTACACAGGTTGGATAGTGCTGAGTTCATCAAGAATCAGCTGGTAAAATAGGGTTTTGGTTCTGCTCATGTAGCCTACCGATAATGCAGTTGCATGCAGGTTAAGACACTAACTACCCAAGTTTGTGAAAGTAGCAACCTTTAAAAATAATTTAAGAAACATGAGCACTACATTTGCCACTGTACATTTAAGGTGGTGATTTGTTGAAGGTCTCTTTTATTCTAGAATAATTTCATAATATGGAATATGGTGGTCCTCACTGGGGTCAGATTATGACTCTATGTGCATGTAGACAAACTGGCTATTTAAAATGGCTATGATACAGGGTTATATTCTTAAGGTATTTGAAATGTCTCTTCAGTAGATGGATACGCAATTGCACGCAGCACCGCAACGTGACGCTACAGCTCCAGCATCTCCCTGAAAGCAAACGGCCTCCTCTTTTATTTAGCCCAGGAATTAGTCTCCTAGGCTCTCTCACATACAACGACTATGTTGGTTCCTAAAGGCATTTGATATAAATAGATGCGTCCACGATTAACAATGAGCAAACAAGGAAAAGAAATATGTATTATTAACAAAAATGGGTATTCTGGATTAGTTCATAATGAAAATCTTTGGTACTTTTTTTTAGGCCCACCTAGTCTTTCGTTTTAAAAAATAAAAAATAAAAAGGTTTCAACCTCCATTAAGGTTTCAACATGTATTTGTACAGTAATCTAATCTAAGTAAAATATGACTTTCATTATTAAAAGTGTATGGTTATTATTATTATTAGTACAAGTATTTACGGTGTTTTGTTTATTTTGGGCGCTTGGTACCTGCAAGTTTAAACACTGAGCAAACTGTACTATCCGGAAGAAGGCGTCCATGGTACCTTCTCCAAAGAAAGAAAATGGAAACCAATCGCACTTAGACAAACAGTCAAGCCTTTTTTACAGAGTAATATAACTAAGCTTGTGCGGCCATCACGTTGACTTAAAGATCATAAACCCGGTATTGTATTCGACCGTGCTTTTCTGTGTCATAATGTTTTATCGTATCTTCACTGGGCGATGGTAATTTTAGCATGTTTACTAGACGTAGACAGTTAACGTCATTTCTTGACGTCGCTTTCCTCGTTAGCCTGCGGTAATGCACATTTTTGTTTGTATGATTTATATTTTCATTAGTTTATGGAAAGTGGCGGCACACCATAGCACACAAACCCAGATGTTTGTAGTGTTAAGAAAGTATCGCTACTTTTAACACGCAGCGTGACTAGCTACTGTAGCTAAGCTAACAGTGGCTAGTCTAATAATTAAATGGGAACTAACGTTATCTATCAGCTAATCCTTAATTGTAACAACTGTGAAGATCATCTGTAACATTTTTAAACAAAACACTACGTGTTCACTTAATTTGTTGAAGGACACGCTGTGTAAAAACTGTTTTTGATGGTGTCGATCGCATCGCTGTTTAGGGACATGGCTAATGTTAGCTGCCCAGGCTAGGTGATTCCATTTTGTTTTTATCTCTAGCTACTTTACTAGTTCTGATATTACGGTTCTTGTGCTTTCAGCACTGATGTATAACACAGTCGTTAGTGTTTCTGACGTACACCACTGTTGTTTTAAAATTTCATCTTGTGTTTAGTTTTTCAGCAGTCTCACTCTTATTTTTTTTTTGTTAATGAAAATCTGAACGTTCTGATTTACTATCAACAAAGTAATGTTTTTTTGCTTACAGCTGTTGAATTCTTTCTGGAGACCACACGTGCCCCCTTCTGCATCAATGGAAGGATCAGACAGCACAGATCAAAGTGGCAATGACCAACCAGACTCCCAGCGGAGAAGTCAGCTTGACCGCCTGGACAGAGAAGAGGCTTTTTACCAGTTTGTTAATAATCTCAGCGACGAGGATTATCGTCTTATGAGGGACAACAATCTTTTGGGAACACCAGGTATAAGATAAATTCATCCTAAAAAAATAATTCTATTTCTGTACTTGTTTGAACATATATTTGGACAAAATTGCATTGAATACATCACAGTAAATATTTGGCATACTTGCTGGTATTCAACCTAAGACAAGGTCCCCTTTATTCCTTTAAAACAGCCAGTATGCTCACATTTAAGATTCGTTAACCTCTTCTAATGTAAATTGTAGTCGTACTCGGCATGTAGCTGACAATGGGCAACTTAAGCGTCCAATTCATTTCTGTCCCAGGAGAGTGGGAGGGAAAATATAAGTTTGGAGCATCCTTTAGCGGAGCATCCTGCAGGGAGAGGGCATTGAATGGACAATGGCATGCCCTGGTAAGTGCGGAGGTTTTTGGTATTGTCCTATTACAGTCTTCAGCTCAAGAAGTTTTTTTCCTTAATTTTTTGCTCAGATTAACATCTAACTTTAAAAGAAGTTGGAACTAATGTATGTCAAAGTTGCAATGTCATATAAATTTTATTTTTTTTAGGTGAGGTGACCGAAGATGAGCTGATCAGTAGACTTCAGCAAATAAAACATGGCCTAAACCAACAGAATAATCCTGCAAATTTACAGATTGGAGAAGATGTTGGCGGTAAGGGCAATGTTAAATGTGCTTATGCAATGACTGTGATATCTTGTTTATGCTGCTTTATATTTTTTCAGATCAACCAGGAAACCCTGAGGAACCTGTCAATGGAGATAGCCTTTTAGACTGGCTGAACACAGTGAGGCGCACAGGCAACACTACAAGGACTGGTCATCGTGGGAATCAGTCCTGGCGAGCTGTAAGTCAAACCAATCCAAACAGTGGCGACTTTCGCTTCAGTCTGGAAATCAGTGTAAACCGTAACTTGGCTGTGGATGGTGAGCAGGTGGCTCCTGATGGTCAAGAGGAAGAAGTGGAAAATGCAGATCCTCCAGCCCCTATGGAGACAGATGTTGTAGAAGAACCAGTGGTGGAGGAGTTGGCTGTAATTGTGGAACCGGAGCCGGAACATGAACAAGTTTCACAACATGTACTTCAAGAACCACCCTCGTCACCTGAGGTTGCTGTCGTACAAACTCCATTGTCTTCCCCGTCACCTTCTCCACGCAGAGGACAGAGAAGACCTCGCAGTCGCAGTCCTGAGCCCCGCAGAACAAGGGCACGAACAGCTAGAAGTCGTTCCCCTCTAACACTTGAGTTGCCATATGTTCTTCCAACTCTACATAATGCCCCTAGCACCCAAAGCTCAAATTCTACTAATAGCAATCCACCTGTACCTCAGGTTGAGGGCAGTTCCCGGACTCGACAGCACATTTCTGCTAGACAAAGCCCTATGGATGAAGATCTTCAGCCACCCCAGGCTTCACCAGAACCTGTTGCTGAGCCCATCAACCCTGATTCTCAGGAGGGGGAGGTTACTGCTGCAGATGGGAGTGGAAGTGGCCGACGTCCTCCCACCATAATGCTCGATCTCCAAGTGCGTCGCGTGCGTCCAGGGGAGTACCGCCAAAGAGACAGCATTGCAAGTCGCACTCGCTCCCGCTCTCAGAACTCAAACAATACCTTTCTTTATGAAAGCGAGCGTGGTGGTTTCCGCCGGACTTTCTCTCGCTCTGAGCGTGCTGGTGTCAGGACTTATGTTAGCACCATTCGCATCCCTATCAGGCGGATCTCTGATGCAGGTTTAGGAGAGGCTACATCTATGGCATTGCAGTCTATGATCCGTCAAATTATGACGGGTTTTGGGGAACTTGGCTACCTCATGGATTCAGATTCTGATTCAACTGATTCAAATCGTGGTACCAACACTCCGTCAGACATGGCTGAAGCTGACCTCAACAATGGAGAAGCACCCAGTGTTGGTGAGACTGTTGCCATTGATGGGGACCAGCAATCTGCCCCTGATGGGGCTAGGGCACGGACAGTTGAGGGAAATTCAGATGAAGGCGATGCTCCACCCCCAGCTGCAGGTGGTCGGGCAAGACCCAGGCCTCCCATAAGTTTTGAGGAGCCCAGTTCTCTTCCTTTCCTTCGCCTCGCCCACTTTTTCCTTCTAAATGATGACGATGAAGACCAACCCCAAGGACTAACCAAAGAACAAATTGATAACCTCTCCATGCGCAACTTTGGTGAGAGCGATGCCCTAAAGACTTGCAGTGTTTGCATAACAGAATATGCAGAAGGCAACAAGCTCCGTAAGTTGCCCTGCTCTCATGAGTACCATGTTCACTGCATTGACCGTTGGTTGTCTGAAAATTCCACATGTCCCATTTGCCGCAGAGCTGTCCTAGTGTCAGCCAATCGGGAGAGCGTGGTTTAGCTTAGCATGGGGCCTTAAGTCTCAAATTAAGTTATGTAGTATCCAACCTCCATGAGAGGCTTTAAAGAAGTGTTATCAATTTTGAAGTTTCTTTCTTACCTTAGGCAAGTTTATTATAATATAGTAATACAATTTGGTTGGAGTGTTTTCAAAACATGGCACTTGCTGCGTTGTACAAGACATTTGTTAATATAACTCAAATTTAATCACAAGATATGCATGCTGTTTAAATCAACTTGTAGTTAACAAGCAGCTATGCACCTCCAAAGTCACCTGCACAGGCAGACAAAGGAACCTCATGAAGTATAGCTGTTAGGTTTATGTGTTGGGGCTTTCAGCTGGCTCTTTTGTATTCTCCCTTTAAAGCCTCATCAAAGGTGAATGTTGGTTTTGTTCAGAGTATTAGCTGTAAATATGCTTGTAAGATAATTTGGGCCACAATAAGCACCCATGAATTGTTTTTGCATTCAAAACACGTGATATACAGATGCAGGGCCTTGATTATTTTATATCAATAACATAAGTAATTTTGACATATAAAGGTTCTGATATAGCAGATGTGTTTATTTCTGGTATTTTAAATAGTTATGTACTTTTCCTTTGTTCACTTAAATCTAAAATGTATGTACCATTAAACATGTTGAGTAAAGTTAAGTGTGGTTTCTTTGCAAATGAAGAGAATCGGGCAATATTTTCTTATGCTCACACCACATTGGTCATAGAACTTTATGTTTAATTACACGTTCTTTAAATAAATTAGATTATAAATAGGTCAACAATTTAGTAATGTTTCGTAATAAGCCAGTCTTTCTTTAAACATTTCTTGTCGGATAACGTGGTTATCACAGGTTAGCGCCGTTGAATAACCAATGATAGGGCACTTTGCTCAGTCTGCGCAAACTTTCAAACAAGGAAGTGTTCTGTGTACAGCCGAATAAGCAGGGATGGCATTCGGAAAAGTAGCGACTCACCTAGGTCTTTTTCAGAAAATCCGTCTGAAGGTAGCTTCTTTTGGTTTTTCAATAGATCACACACACACAGGTTTAGTGCAAAAAGAATCAGGACAATATTAACTGGCTCTATAGTATAGAGCAAGCTGTTTTGTCAAGCTATTTCTGTACCCTAACGAATTGAGTACTTGATCACGTCACAGAAAAATGCAGCGTGTATGTGATTATCCTTTCTTTGATAAATAGGACGTATCATACAGTGTTAAGTAGAATGCAAATTAGACGTGGTGTACCGCTTCCTACAAACGAGCTATAGTTGGTTGCTGTGTCTTCTTATACACATTGACCACAGGGGTGCGCTGCTCTCCACACAATTAGGCTATATGTATGAGACTAATCTTGTATGTTGGGCCTACAGCAGGCTAATGTCTTAATTTGCTTAACCCTGAAAACAGGCCATTATTCAAACTCAAAGAGTTGCCAAGGGAAGCTGTCCTGTTAAAGTGAGCCATCTGGACCATTTGGTGCTCACAGTGAAAAGTGTGCCTGACACTATTCAATTTTATTCCTCTATTCTCGGGATGGAAGTCATTACTTTTAAGGTATGCAACATAATCCATGCAAGGATTTTTATTTTATTTTTTTGTGTGTGTAGTTTGGCTTTCAAATAGATCATGAGCCGTTTTAAGTTAGGCCTACTAATAAACAATAATTTATCAAAGTAAAATAGGTCTGTTTTATAACCTGAAGTCTTAGGTGGTCACTCACCACTAGATGTCAGGGTTTGTTTGTATTTATTATATTTATATTACATATAAAAGCTAATGTTAACCCTGCCACGACAACACCATTTACTAGTACAGGATTAATTTCTCTTCACTGATCAAGGGCAATCGTAAAGCTTTGGGATTTGGACAACAGAAGTTCAACCTCCATCAGCTGGGCCAAGAGTTTGAGCCTAAGGCGAAGCGTCCAACTCCAGGCTCTGCTGACATCTGTCTCATCACTAAAACCCCTTTGGCAGCTGTGGCCGCACACCTGAAAGTAATGTCTTTTGTTACAGTTTTTTCCTATTATTATTGTCCAGACCAATAATTGTATGCTTTGCAGATTTGTGGAGTTAAAATTGAAGAAGGACCAATTGAAAGAAGTGGAGCGATGGGCCCTATCACCTCTCTTTACTTCAGAGATCCTGATGACAATCTCATTGAAGTTTCAAACTACAACCAATGAACAAATGCTATTGCTAAATCTTCTGGCTGATAACTCTAACTCTGTGGTTAATGAACACATCTTTTGTAAATGATTAATTACTGTTATAACATTAAAACATTTTAATGCTGTGATGATTTGTATAAATGAAACAAAAACAAAACATTTGAGATCTCCAAGCTGTTCTTGAAGCCATTTATAGTCATATAATATAGTCAGTTAAACTTTAACTGCACTTTTTACCAGACTTCCTTAACCCTTAAGGGAAGTAAAGTCTGGTTCGTTAGACGTAATCTTTTTCCTTAAGTTTAGACAAATCAGAGACTATTAACGGGAAAGGGAAAAATCCAAGTCATTTTACTGTAAAAACATATAATAAATAAGTAAAATAATTACCTTCTGTGTGCACCAAAGACCTTTAGTGATGAACCGTGGTGGAAGAGGTACTTAATTTTGCTGCTTAAGTAAAAGTATAGATACTGGAGGAAAAAAGTACTCAAGTAAAAGTATATGAAAAAATCTACTCAAGTAAAAGTATTAAAGTACCCTTTCAAAATTTCACTTAAAGCGTAAAAAAGTATTTCACGTATATTTTGAGATCTAATAAAGCTTCAAATGTAGTGATTTAAACAAAGATTTGTGCAGAATATTGTATCACCAGAAACTTTTGTTTTTATTTGAATATTTTTGTTAGCTCAAACTACAAATGTGTTAAAAATAAACCCTCAGTTTTCAGCAGGTCTCAAAAAATACTTTAATACTTTAATCCTGTTCAAAAATGTGTGAAGTGGAGTAGAAAGTACAGCTACCTGCTCTCATTGTAGAAAAGTAAAAAGTATCCTATTTAGATTGTACTTAAGTAAAGTACAGATACCTAAAATGCTTTATTACTTTTACTTTGTTATGTTCCACCACTGGTTGTGAAGGTGCCGCTTACATTTGTACAAAAGAAAACTTGATGGAACTGTTATTTCCCCTTTGACTTTTACCTATAAAGCCTGACCTTCAGACTAGCATTTCTAAACCAGGGATGGTCATCTTATTCCTTTATGTTAGGTTGTTCTCATATTTCTCTGGCATATTTACTTCATACTCTCTGCTTAGTTCGCTCAGGGTTGGGGCTTGCATTAAGAAAATGGTATTGTATTGCCTTGAGTAAGTAATAGTACATATTGTATTAATAACAGCACACAATTTTTTATTCATTTGTTTATCTATTCTATATACTTTATTTGTATAATCACGATGAATCTTAATTCATCAAGATTCATATTCAACATAATATAAGATAAACATCAGTAATACATTAATGGTTAACAAGTCATATACAAATATTTACAAACAAACATACACATACTGTATGAAGAAATAAAAAAAAATAGATGAACACCTGCTCTTCAAATAGAATTTGTATTATAAATTTATTAACCGTTGCTCTTACGTTATTTCTACTGCAGTTTTGACAAGAGGACAGCACAGTCTTCCATTTGGTCCAGATTTTCTACCACTTCAATCAGCCCCTCCACTTGTTCTGATGGTAGGACTGTTGTGGCATTGCTCCTGAACTTCTTTCTTAAACTTTCATTAGTTAAAGGGTTACGCCAGTGACCATAGAAAGTGTCACAGCGTCCTGTCATGACATCCCCTCCTCTCAGCGTCACCTGCACTTCTCCGTACATCAGGTTAAAATTGGCCACGTTGTCATGGGGGTGCTCTACTCGGACACAGTTCAGCAGAGCATGTAGCTCGGAGCGTTTGATTGCAGCTGGTGTAAAAGACTGGACTGTCACTTCCCCATCCAGCAGAGCAGAGCAGGCATTGAACTGGAAAGAGTGACGTGCTTCATGCTCTGATTCAGGGAATGGTCTGTTAATGTATTTAGATTTAGGCACTCGGATGAGGATTTCCTTTACTTGGCCTGGTAACACTGTACCAAGACCAGCCCCTACCAAGAGCTTACTGATGGATGCTGCAGCATCTGCTATCCAGTGCATCCCCAAATGAGCCGGGAAGCGCTTAAAACCCATGTCCTGCACCTCTAACAAAAACTGGCTATTTTCTGTTGGCATCTCCAAAGCCTGTGGAGCATAATCTTCATAAAAAGCACTAAATCCTGCTACACCTGGGGTATCATCCAAAACAAGTGCACTCGCTTCCAGTCCCCTAGAGGCTAGCAAAGCAGCTTCTAGCCCTAAACGTGCTGCATTGCCAATATGAAGAGGTTTGGACTGGGTAGCAGCATTGGCCATGGGTGCCCCAGACAGAGAGGCAGCTATAGCCAAAGCATGACTGCTCTGGGAGTCATCTAAAGACAGCAGTCGAGCACAGGCTGCAGCACTGCCCATGGTTCCGACCACACTTGGAGGGTGAAATCTGCAAATGAAATTAAAATAAGACAATTAAAGTGCAGTACTCTCTTTATTTAGACTGATCATTCTTATGTCTGCCTTTTCATTTTGTGCAAAATGTGGAAATAGAGCTGTTCTTTGGAAAAAGTTATGACAATGGATATACAGACAATTTAAGGCATATCAAGATTCATTTGGCTTGCTCTACCCTGCCTTCAGATCCCCTTGCACCAGGTTAATTGTGTGCTTAGTGCCTTAATGTTTTTTGTCCAACAAATACTCCCACACATAGGCTTCATGTGAGAGACAGCACTGTTCTGCTGTGGCTAACTTCCTTTGCCGTATAGTGCAGGGCTCTTATTCTATCAAACAATATGTGAGAGCAATGTTACTCATATTAATGCCTTTCATGAAGAGAGCATTTGTTTGTTTGATTTCTGGTGTCATTTTTTGTCTGACTGACTGCATTTGTCTTTTGTAGACTGCTAATGTCATATCCACTTTGATTTCAAATATGACACAATTAAAATACACACCTCTTGGGAATGTTGTGGGCCTCATTAGAGAATCTCATGAGTCGTCCTTGGATCTCTATGCCCACGTTGAAGGCCAGCAGGAGGTCCAGGCCGGTGGGTTTGTGGTTGACTGGCATCATGTCACTGAGCGCTAACACAGCAGGCAGGACTGCTCCGGAAGGGTGAGTAGCGGGGTGCCATGTATCATCAAAGTCCATGGAATGAGTCTGGAACAACACACAGAAACTTTTAGTAATCACAAAGCACACATCTCCAGCATGCTCTGTCTCACAAAAGAACATTGTGTGCCTTGGTTAAGACACCATACATGTTTATTTTCTTTCATAGACAAATATATTAGGCCACTAATGTCTTGACTAGACGAACTGGAAATTGTACATTCATTTCATTATTAACACAGCCATGAAGCAATGTCTGCTTTTTCAGTCATTTCCACATGAACTATATAAAAATAAATAAAACAAATAGTTTCTCAGTTGACTCTAAATAAATATACTCACAGCAACTCCATTTACAAAGGCAGCTAATGTTGGGGAAAGTCTGGTCCTCTTGCGTCCATACACGGAGCTGACTTCATCTGGGCCGTACATGTGCTGTACAAACAGATGACCCCAATTTAGAACTATGTCTTAATTAGTAACATGGACTACATTGTGAAAAAAAAAACACTCTTGACAAATAACAAAAGTGTTTTGAATGCATGTTTCACTCACACAAACAAGCTTGAAATATTTTATATTATAATATTATTAAATATTTTGATTTGAATGTACTCAGATATAAACTATTTCATCTGCCTGCTCCTAAATACTGAGATTCATTTCACTAATAGACTTTGCCCAGGCTGGCTGGGCACAGTGGTTTACGACTGACCTGGCAGTGCTGCAGAGCCAGCTGAAAGACCTCTGTAGTGGATCCAATGAGGCCCACTCCGATGCTGTCCAGGACCATCCTCTTACTGCGCTCCAGGACAATGGGGGACAGGTGCTGGGGCTTCACCTCACTGATAAATCTGCCAAAACTGCTGGTCACTGTGGGCTCAGGGAAAGGGCGTTCCAGTACTGAGGAGAGGCAAGATGGGGACAGATAAGACACAGTGATATGGGTGCATGGTAAACAGATGATTATGGCTGCATGGTAAAGTAAGGTACCTTTAGCAGCAGACATGTGGAGTCTTCTGACAGCTAAAACTGATTTTAGGGTTTTCTGTAGATCAAAAGGCCAGTTGTTCACAAAATTGTTATAAAATTCTTACAAAAATATTTTTAGCAACACTGAACAAACACATCTCTTTGCTCAACTGCACTGCAAAAATTCAAGATTAGCTCATTAATTTATGTCTCGAGAATACTAATATGTTAATAAATTCATATTAATTTACTGTGTGGACCTAGATTATAAGATTAGGTTAAAGATTTTAAACAATAACCTTTTTTTTTTTTTAATCAAATCTAAGATAATATGAATAATAATAAATAAATAAATAAATAAATAAATGAATAAATAAATAAATAATATATATATATATATATATATATATATATATATATATATATATATATATATATATATATATATATATATATATATATATATATATATATATATATATATATATATATATATATATATATATGAATGCCCCCCCCCCCACAAAAAAACAAAAAAAAACTTACCTGTAGTGTAGAGATCATTGCTTCTGAATAAAGTCTTGCTGCTGGTGCTGGTGAGAGTGTTGATGATGCTGTGCTGTAAAACATCTCTTATATAGTCCCAGAGTAAGTTCAAAACAAAAGCAAATAAAGAAACATTTCCTTGTACTCATCTGTATTTTATGTCTCAGGAAATGGAAAAACTGGGAGTGGGTTTTTTGTTGTTTTGTTTAAATGAATGGCGTCACCTGGTGTCTCAGATATCATACTGTGTACTTGGTGTGGTGGGGAATTCAGAAACTCCTCCCACGGACTCAGTAGCCCTATTTAGGTGAAACCAAGTTACACCTTAGAACTATATGAGACTTCACCTGACCTGTAACACTATCACCACACCAGCACTATCAGGTAAGTTCTCATTTTAGTACAGTGATTAATTTGTATTTGTGTGTTCGTAGAATAGTAAGTTTGTTTTTAGCCTGTTCCTCATTTTGTTCTGTTTCTGCATTCTGACATTCTTATTGTACCTATAATTTTGCTTCACTATTTGGTAGATTAATTAAGTACCTCTCATATGTATCTCTCATATATTTCAATTGAATGTACCTGCACACTTAATTTCCGTATTTACTGAGTAAAACAGAAAATGTGATTTGAGTGTCCAGTAATTCCCATATGGCTTTCATGATCTAAAGCCAAAGAGATTCAGGTTTCTGAACAGGTTTGAGAGCAGAAGTAATAAAAGTTGAAAAATGCAGTTATTATACAACTACTATTTTATCTTAAAAGTGTAACAATGTAAGGTATAAAAAGCATTCCTTGTTGAAAATGTATTTGTTTTATTACAGCTCAAGTAAGCAGAGACCATGTCAGGATCAGATGGTTTTCCAGCCAGTTATTATGGTGAGCCTGGAGTCTTGGGGATGTTGTCCAATGGCATTAGTGCTTTCCTTCTGCTTCTACAAAACTTCAATATAGCCAGAACTGGCATCTCACCAACCGGGGTGGAAAACGTGCTTGCAGGTATTGTAAAATTCAGCACTCAAATCCACTGTATTTTATTATATATTTTTTATTTAATTAGTTATTCATCATGATTGAACAAAACACTAATGGGGCTGTGCATTTAATAGAATGTATATAATCCAGTCCATCATTGAATCCAGATCCAAGATTCAATGATGATGATATGCTTGGGTTGTTTGAGAGGTTTATACTCAATCTTCTGCCAAAGCACGTATGTGGTTTGGAGCTAACTTTAGACTTAGATGGAATAATTTGTGCTAAATTAATGTTTGTTTGTTTTGAAAAGACAAAACAAAATTGAATACTAAATTCAGATAGATCAACATGAGAGATAAAATATGTATTTATTACCTCCGCCAAGGAAGCGTTTGTCTGTTTGTTTGTTTGTTTGTCTGTTAGCAACATAACTCAAAAACTTATGGACTGATTTTGATGAAATTTTCAGGATTTGTTGGAAATGTGAAAAGGAAGAACTGATTTCATTTTGGGGGTGATCTGGAAGAAATCCTGGATTCTGGATCACTTTGAAATTTTAGTTAACATTGTGGTAAATGGGGCCAAAAATTTTGTTTCTCAATATCTCGGTTAATTATTGACCAAACCCCATGAAATTTGACTCAGAGATGGACAATGGGATCCACTTTCATATTCCAAAGGCTGATCCGGATCTGATCCAGAAGACTGATTTTATCGCAATTTATATAAAAAATGGGGGTAGTCCTTGGCGGAGGTCTGCGCTCTCTGAGTGCTTTTCTAGTTTATTTTGTAACTCCCAATAGTAAATGCCTAATTTTCTCTAGTCTAAATTTCTCTATTAAGTACTATTTGGATGTTGCTTATGTATTATGTATTATTATTATACTGAAGTAGTATGGAAGTATATTAAAATTTTATCATTTTTTGTCAGGTGTTCAGCTGATCATCATTGGTGGCATCTGTCAGGTGGTGGCTGGAGTGCTTTCCTTCCGAAAATATGACCATCTTAGTAGCACAGCCTTCATTGGTTACGCCGCCCTTTGGATCAGCTATGGCGTTACCAAAATCTATTATGGTTCTATTACTCCTAATCAGTTCACTAATCCCATATTTCTACCCACTGTTGTTGACAACAACTCAATCTCATTTATTAATACAACAGGGGACAACACTTCCCAATCACTGTTTATCAACAATCCTACAAGAGGCCATTATTTAGAAGAATCAGCTATCTCTGGCCTCATTGCTTACATCATATTGTCCTTTCTTCTAGCTTTTTGCTCTGCCACTGTTAATTACGTCATGCCATTCGTTTTTGGGGCAATTACGCTCACGCTTATATTTGAAGCCATCACTCTTGTTTCTGGTCCCTGGGCCATGGTAATCTCTGGCATACTTGAGCTTCTTATTTTGATTTTTGCCATTTATGGCTCAGCTGCCCTGCTTTTGAAAGGCCTCACCCAGCGTCTTGTCTTAAAAGGTTTTGGTACACCCCTTTTTAACGTCCTCCTACTGGGCACTGCCAGTTCTGCCAAGGCTCAAAAAATTGGTCAAGAAAAGAAGAAAAACACAAAATACGCTGAACCAATGGCTTTAGGTTTTTTCTGTGATACCATTTCTTCATTTATCTTTATTTTTTACAGTTTTGGCTATTTTACGTTTTTTGGTCTTGGAGCTCTATGGGTCACTATAATCTCAGGTGCTCAGCTGTTCTCAAGTTACTATTCCTGTCTACGCCAAGACTCTTACCACGCTACAAAATTTGGGGTACATGCAACATACTGGATTATCAATGCATGGGAAGAGTTTGAGGCATCTTCAATGTTAAGCAGTGACAATGTGACTAAAGGGAGAGATGCACTGATTGGTGACTATTTCATTATTTTGCTCTCTTTGGTGATATGTGTTGGAGGTCTGAACACAGATTGGCTTGAACTGGTTCACAATCTGCTGTTTTCATTGGTCACTGTCTCGACCATCCCTCAAATCCCCCTTCAGGTGTATTACATTTTCTTTGGTATAACATGTTGTCTATTCACTGCGATTTCTCTATATGGCACCTTTGCACGACTAATCAACACCATAGCTGAGAAGTCCCTCATCCCTGTAGGCCCACAGCCTGTTTCCACCAAACGTTTTATCCAAACTTTGAACTGCCGGAAGAATAAGGAGATTCCGTGTAATACATGCCACACATCTGATCCCCTCTTCTATCTTGCAAATGGACTTGCAAGTTTCTCAGTTACCAATATAAGTATGAACACCGCAAATCCCTTCTTCAACACCCTCACAGTCCCTTGGGTCCTCATCCCAGGAACAGTGATTCAATTCTACATCAGTCGATTACGAAGTCAGAGTGGCCGTTTAGGATCAGTCATCTCAACTGTCTATATTGCTCTGTGGACTACTTTCACATGGTTTCGACTTACAGGTACCTATTCCCTAACATGTTTAATGGCGTATTTTTATGAGCAAATTGTACTTTTTTTTTTTTTTTTTTTTAAATATAGCTACAGATTGGTATTCTTCACATGCTGTCTATGGATTTACAGCAGGGGGCATTGCACTGTTGGTTATCAATGTATTTCTTGTAATCCTTGGTAAGTTTTGGTTACCTTATGAGAAACTTTAATATTTGATTTTAATAGCTAAGTGCTGATATATATTTTATTTCAGCTTCCTTTAGGAACCTGGTATTGATGTTTATGCTAATTGTTAAGGAGATGATATTGGTCTGCTTCCTGCTTTCCACATTAAAAGCGCTCCCATACCAGCTTGAAGGTAAGCTTTAGGCATTTTTAAGTCATTTAAATACTATATTATAATGTTTAACTTACCTGTGTTCTTCTTAACAGTGTCTATGCTTGTTACTTTCTCTGCAATTGCTCTTTATGGGACTCTGGCATCATTAGTTAATTGCATCTTATCAAAACAAGTGCTCTCTCTGGGTCCTGCTATATTTAAGGTAAATTCATCTGTAGAATAGTCATTAATGCATACAATGTTTGTTTCCAGAGTTCTTTATAACATATTCTGTGATGTCTTACAGGAGGTTAAAAAGGAGGCAACCCCAGCCGTCCAATGTCCTGTGGCAGACTCCAGATTCACCAGTGGTCTGATGAAGATCGCAGCTATTTTAGAGGAGGGAGGGGTGTGTGGTATTCCTACTGACACAGTGTATGCATTGGCTGCATCCTGCAAGAAGCCAGAAGCCATAGAAAAAATCTACAATATCAAAGTAAAAGCACGAAGTGAATTACTTTGTTTTCCGTATTTGAAGTGTTGTAATCAATACTTTTTAAACAGGACAGACCAGCCGAAAAGCCCATCTGTATTTGCATTTCGCATGTGGATCAGTTGGTAGCAGCGAGGCCACCTTTCAGTCCGCTGCTCTGGGAGTTCATGAGAAACGTGTATCCAGGAGGCATCAGCTGCATAGTCAGTAAAGGAGAATGGCTTTTTAAACTAGGTATGATTAAGCAATTTATGAGCTTTTGACTGTGATTATAGTGTTCCCTCATCAATAGTTTACCCTGCATTGTATTTCAGTTGATTTATTCATGTTTGAGTAATCCTGTATTGTCCTCCATTTGAGACTTGAGTGCTCAGAAAACTTCTGTTTTAACTTACCCCCTATATCTGCTTGCTTCCCAGTTGTGAATTTTGAGATTTCATTGAACAAAATGTAAAATAATGATCTAGACATGTCATAGTTTATTACTAAAAAGGCACAGTATGTCTTCTTTAACCATTATGTGTAACCATTTACTCTATTCTCAGGAGTGGGACCAGCCTATGAGCGAGTAGGAACCAAAGACAGCATTATGATCCGAGTGCCTGACCACACAGTGACAAGGCATCTATGTGACCTCACTGGACCCCTCGCCATCACCTCGGCCAATCCCAGTGGAGAGACAGACAGCACCCACCATAGCATGGTCATCAGGTAAATGAGACAGCTGGGAATAAATGCATGTCCAAGTTTTGAAATAAAAATGTATCATATATTTTTGATCGTTCCAGTCGACTGGGAAATAAGCTGCAAGGTGTCCTCTGTGATGGAGACTCTGATGAAGTGGTTGCATCCACCATTGTCAACTGTCTGAACATAGATGATGGTAATTTTTGAACCGTTTAGTCATATTTTCAGGTCCTCCTCACAACTATCATTACAATGTAAAATGTTTTTTTTCTCTACAGGAACCATCAGTATTGTGAGGGAGGGGTGTGTACCAGCAGCTAAAGTCCTCCAGATCTTTGAAAGAGTCAAAGCTAACATGCTGTGAACGAATCAGCTTTTTATTGTGACCTTTTTCCACTATGTAATAAGTTTAAATGCAATACATCATGAAAAGAAATGTAGTAGTTTACTCATACACCATTGCTGTCTTTGTTACTTAAGATGTAAATATGTAAGTAAAATGCAAACATCTAAATATTTTTTTGACTAAAAATGATAAATGTGAAGTGAACTTAAATCACTTAAATTGAATGTGTATGTATGTTTTAAGATATGTTAAATAAATACATAAAAATATTGCTGCAGTCAAATATTTTATTAAAATGCATAGATCAGTGTTGAAACTGACTGAATAATATCCCTTTTTAAGGGAAATCTCATGGCCTGTAAACCTGTGTCTTTAAGCACATCAGTTAAGGACTGAATAATTAATACAGAGTAAATGATCCTTTATGACTTTAAATGTATAATTACAAAGATGTTACACTAATTATTGTTGTGGAATTTGCATCCCCTGCATTAGTCTTAGCTAGGACTGTTGGCATTGTTGGCATTTCTCAGTGGTTAGCTATGGTGTCATATAGGGGCAACAGTTAAAAAAGCACACAGTGACACATTCAGTTCACAATAATTATTATATGAAAGAGATCAAATGTGATGAGCTATGAGATATGCCATGGAGTCCATGATGCTCAAAAGAAGTAGGAAAGTTTTAAAATGTATTATATTCTACCCCTGTATGGTTGTAAGGTCTATGATGTGAAAGAATTAAATAATTCATAATTAATGATGATAACAATATATGTTATTGTACACAACAATATATAGAATATATACATAAAGACAATGCCTATCCAAACAGGGTCTGCATCAGGTGCTGGGGAGCCAGAGCACTTTGATGAGAAATGGGCTACTAGATGGAAATAGGCAAGATGCAAGAACAAGGCTTTGTTGGACTGCCACTACTCCACTAATCCGAGTCAGAGGGGCTACATGAACACAATATGGGAGACATGGTTACGTTGATACCCACAGTAGCTCAGTGTTCCATCATCCTCAAACAGCAATTGCTATCACAACTTGAGATTGACGAGGTACAGGGGAAGCCAGAATGCTAAGATGCCAGGTCAGGGGGGAGATATCATCATCTCCCAAATCAGATACTGGGTACAAAGCCCCAATAAGTATCATGCTGAATGAGGCTATAACTGACCTGAAAGAGGCTAAGTGAAGTACCCTCTGAAAATCTCCTAAAAATGTGAATGCAGCACTGTGAGCAATCCCTAACTCAACCATCACTGAAACCAATGAGCTGACATCAGCAGCAGTGATCCTAGAAATGCTTGGTTTGCTTTAGTTCAGTATGATGTTTTGTGAAGTACTGAATGATAATGTCTCTCTCTCTTTTTTGTGGGCCACTCTTTCTGCCAATGACACAACACCTTCTGGGTTACCACATCACAGCACTCAGAAAATCCTATTGTGATCCTAACACTGATAAAATTTTGCTTTAGGGCATGATTGGCAATTGCGTCTGCAACCTCATTGCCAACCACTCCAACATGGGCCGGGACATACATAAACACTTCAGACAATTCTATCATATCAACTCTTTTAAGTGCAATACAAATTTCAAAGATCAGCTTTATCTAAACACGTGGCACTCCTGCCTGCAGAGTCATTGGGGCAGCAGCTGAATCAAAACAAATTAAAGCAGGCTCAGGTCCAATTTTACCCACCCATTCTAATGCACACAGCTAGGCTATAACTTCAGTATTAAATACAGACACATTATCTGGAAGCCGGTAACCCTGGCTGAAGCCAACCTCAGGAATGTGCACAACAAAAGCAGCTCTACTGTTCTTGGAATCAATATAAATCACTAAATGCTCATCCCACTGCTCATTGATTACTTTTTTGATCTACTGGGTTTCCCTTTCCCTTCTCCCTGAGGATGTCTTAACAGTCCAGTCTATTTCTGGATCTGGGAGCAACCATGGGGGAAAAGAGGGCCACACCACGCTTGGAGACATATCCAAGCTCAACTCAGGGGACTCAGCCCATACTTTCTTAACAAGAGATCCTATGCGCTGTCTCCTAACTCTCCTCCAGCAAATGCCTAAATTTTATCATCTCAGACTCAGGGGCATCTCTCTACTCGCCACTTGGAGAGTAGGGGTAGGGGTGGTCCTAATAGTCCCACAATAGACATTCAGGGCTTTGGCCTGCACAATGTCTGGCTTTAAAAGGGTGGTCTTTGCTGCCCTCCTGTATGTTACGCACCCATAGTTAAGTGAAGAATGAACCATTGCAAAATTTATAATTTATTTTTATCTGCACCCCAACTACTGCTTGCAAGGAAACACATTACATTTACAATTGTATTACCACTTATTTACTTATTATTCAATTATTTAGTTTTCTGTACATGGGCTTTCGTTAACCTCCCATTGAAATGCAAACTTAAACTTATTCCCATACCAGCCTGCCAGTGATTTTTATTTTATTTTTTTATGTATTTAAAATGGGAACTTTGAAAAAAATCAATACCAAACATAAAATGTAAATCTATTTGTAATCACAATGCTCAGAAAAAAAACAAAGCCAAACAATTTCATTAAATTGTTCAGTCCTAGCACAGGGCAAAACAGTTTTTAACCAACCATTCCTTCATTCCTTTTATTCTCCTCTGGCACTGCAAGAAATAACTGCTTCATGCCAACGGCTGAATACATTATATTTAACCAGGGAGTAAGCTAATCAAAAGATTGATAAGCATTTCTTTCCTGTTTATAAACACTCCGATAACCATCACCTCTTACCTACACTGAAAACTTCACTGGATTTGCATTTTAAAAATATGGAAAGTGGTTACTTGCAATAAAATTTTATGTTCAGGCTTTGAAACATATTTTGATCCCATCTACACATATTTTTCTCAGAAAATGAACGTCACTTTTCATGTTGTGATGTTGATGTTCATGAAATGTGATCAAATCATGCTAAATACACATATTTATCTCATCATGAAAATGTGCCTTTTTTATGGTTTTATTTTTATGTATAATTTAATTCTGTCTACACAATTATTTTAACATGCAACATCAAATGTCCTTGCAGGGTTTTAAAGTAAAAGAATACAGTTGTTAGTTTTCCACAGTTCTGTATTGTCTTAAACAGAATCAAAAACACAGAGAGCACAGTTACACACTGAAAAAAAAAAGTTGCTGGATTTGCGTAAAAAAGTTATGGACAGCGGTTGCACGCAATAAAATTATGTTTAGGCTTTGAAACTTTTTTCGAACCCCTCTACACATATTTTTCTCGGAACATGAACATCACTTTTTCATGTTGATGAAATTTGAACAAATCATGCTGAATATGCATATTTATCTTATGGTACCTTATCATGAAATGTATAAGTATGTATAATTTAATTTAATTGATCTAATTCTGTAAAAGAATACAAAAACAGTCTTTAGTTTTCCACAGTTCTGTATTGTCTCAAACAGAATCAAACACAAAGAGAGCACAGGGACAGAGATACACAGTTTGGAGCTGGACAGTGTGAAGATTTATTCCAGTGAAGAAGCTCTTGTCTCTGTGGACACACGAATAACACATGATGATCACATTCTGATGATCTACTCTGTTGTACATGTTTAAATACACTTATAGCACTTATTACTACAATAATGGACCAGAACAGAAGAACAAGAACATTAGAACTGTATCTGCAGAAACAAAACTCACCATGTGCTGCTTTTCTTCCTAAACACAGTAACAGGGAGGGCATCTGGTATAAAGTCCTCCTAATGCCACATAAGATAAGATAAGATAAGATATGCCTTTATTAGTCCCACAGTGGGGAAATTCCAGTGTTGCAACGCACAATTTCAGAACAGCAGGAAAAGGTAACACAGATAATAAATAATAGCTTAAAATAATTTAAAAATAGAGTTAAAAATAATTGCACATGGTTATGATTGACTGGTACATGTTCAGTGTTAACAGTGTTTGTTGTAAAGTCTGACAGCAGCAGGAAGGAAACATCACCTTGTACAAGTACGATAACAGTTTCAATAGGAAGTTCATTTTGAAAAAAATTAAAATAATTTTAGTTGGTTTACTTACTTTGTTCATCTGTGGTCTGTGTTTTGTTGGTTCTCAAACATCTTCCTTTTTTCTGAAACATCAACTATAACATTCATGAACTTCCCCACAGCTCCAGCAGAGCTCTGGATATCACTCTTTGTAGACGACTCTGGAAGCAACACATTTAAATCTTAGTACAACTGTCACACTTTTGTAGATGGACAGTCAAAAACAATTAGTTTCAAGCTGTCCTTACATTAACTCTAATTTCAAATAAAACAACACAAACATGTTTTAACAATGACGACATTCTAGGCCGGAGAAGCACATAATAAAATCTTTGAAAAGTCTTACCTCCAGATCAGCTCTCATAATCCTCCTGCTCCACAGTGTGTGTCCTCTGCTCATCTAACTGTCCTGTGTCCTGTTACATTTGAATTTTCCCTCCAAATGTTTTGGGGAGGAGAATTCCAGAGGGAGGAGCCTCACTAGAGATTATAATAAAGTCATGTTTCCTCAACCTGATTAAAACATGCAGGTCTCACATCGGCCACAATCAAGCGATGTTTGTAAGATTTAAACATGCTGGACAGAGAAACGTAAAAAAGTGATGTTATTGTTGTCAAATTTGTTTTTGCAATTTGAGCAACCCCTCTCGGACCATTTTTTCAGTGCAGAGACACACAGTCTGTTTGGAGCTGGACAGTGTGAGGACTTATTCCAGTGAAGACACTTTCGTCTTTGCCTGTGGACACAGGAGTAACACATGATTACATTATGATGATCTACTCTGTGTTGTGCATGTTTAAATATACTTCAAGCACTTGTGACTGTCTAATATAATAACTGACCAACAGAATCACAGTGAACATTCGAATTGTACCTGCAGAAACAATACTCACCATGTGCTGCTTTTCTTCCTCAAATTGCAGTAACAGGTACGGCATCTGG